CCTCTCGCTTTTCGCTCTTTCTCTCCCGCAAACCGGGTAGATATGGGAATTTCAGATAAAGAGAAAAATAAGATAGCAACACTCAAAATGAAACGGGCTTGCCCGATAACAATTGCGTCCGGGAAAAAGAACAACAACCCAAATCTTCGTGTTTTATCCAACGGGGTTAAAATTCGAATGATGACAATCAAATAAAAAAACGACAATTCATTTTTATGTACATCTCTGTCTCTCTCACGTGTAACAATGTTGGACTATTATTTTCTAGTTGGACAACGAGGATAAGTATATTTTTTGTCCCTCAACTCCAAAACTGTCAAAACTTAGTCCCTCAACTTCTAAAACCGGATAAGTTTAGTGCCTCGAGCGGTTTCTGGCCAACATGAAAAGTGCGTCGATGAACAGTAAATTCAGAAACAAATAGCAAAAGAATTCAAAAATTCTGAAATTTCATGGGACAAAAATACTCGTATGTGCAAGACGCGTGCAGAATTTTGTGGTGTTTCGACATTCGAGGACCTCATTACTAAGAAAAAACAGTAAATTTGTACATCGGTGAATAGTTAAATTGAAAAAAAAAGTTAATAAAATATTTAACTTCTTGGAAACAAAGAGGCTTGGGTATGCAAGGTGGTTGCAAGATTTTGCGATCGAATGACATTCAAGCAGCTCTAGCAAAAAAAAGAAGAAAATAGTGCACTTTTTCAAAAGTTTTTTTCCGAATCAATTTTGTTTTTTACCAGGATCTCCTACAATGTCCAAACACCACAAAAAATTGCACGCACCTTGCGCACTCAAGCATCTTGAATGCGAAAAATTCATACTTTTTTAATTTTCTTGATATTTTTCGAATTTAGTGTTCATCGACGTATAAATTTATTATTTTTCTTTGTCACGAGGTCCTGAAGTGTCCAAACAGCACGAAGCTTTGCAGGAACCTTGCGCACCCAACTATCTTAGATCCCACAAAATTTCAGATTTTTTTGGACTATTTTGTTCAAATTTACTGTTCACCAACGCACTGTTCACGTTGGACGGAAGCCGCTCGGGGGACTAAACTTATCCGGTTTTTAAAAGTTGAGAGACTAAATTTTGGTGGTTCTGGAGTTGAGGGGCGATTTCTAAACTTTAAGAAGAGTTGAGGTTTGAAAAATATACTTATCCCTTTTCTAATCGCCACTATTGTGATATTTCGAAACTCTAAGAATGCTCTACTGCAGAATTGATAGCACAGTCATACTCTCATTTACAACTCCATTCCAGCTCAAGCTTTCTACATTACAAAATAGACGGTTTTGCTAAACATCATGTGCCTGAAAATTTGGGTGGCATCAGTCACAATTTTAGACAGCACAGCACGAGGCCGAAGGCGGGGACGACGTGAGGAGCGCCGGCGACGAGCGCCGCTCACGGCGAGGCCGAGCTGAGTACGAGCGGGAGCCGACGATAGTCAGTGGGAGCGAGTTAGAAACTTAACTAGGGGGTGCGGGGATCGCCAAAATTGTTCGTCAAGGCGGGATTTGAGCGATGAACGGAGTTGCGGCCAGCACGGCGGTGGGGAAGGTAGAGGGCAGGGCAGGGCGGCGCTAGCCGCTGGCCACGGGGGCGGAGGCCGGTGGTTAAGCCTGGGTTGGCCGGCGGCTGCGCAGAGGTAGAAGATGAACGGTACTCGATCCGTTTTTTTCCAACCGTTTGATGAAGATCTAACCCCTCTGATGGAAGTGACTGATGCAAGTTCTATTTTCAGGCACCAGAAGTACATTGGAGGAATGGAAATGCACTCCCACGTGATGAGCTAGTATGGTGGTCGAGCATGCATCCTACGCGGCAGAAGTCGGCACGTTGGTGGTGCCAGCGAACCATGGGCATTGGAGCGCCATGGCTGATGGCAGACGCTCGCCGGGGTCGCACGTGAGGAGCACCTCTAAAACCTTGAACCCGTCGCGCGACAGGCGCTCCTCGCGCAGTCGGCTGCCACTTCGGCGGCTTCTGCCCTGCGGCGGAGAGCGGCGTGGATGCCATGCACGTGCTGTCGAGCACGCGGAAGATTCTCCGGAGCTGGTCGGTCGCGCTGTCACCAGGGAACAATGGCCCGCCGGCGAGCAGCTCCGCCATGACGCAGCCGAGTGACCAGGCGTCCACGAGCTCGTCGTAGTCCGGCTTCCCCAGGAGCATCTCGGGGGCCATGTACCAGAGCGTGCCGGCCTGTCCGCGCGGCGTCGTGGCGCTCACCATGGAAATAGCCAGCCCGAGATCACATATCTTCACCACGCCCTCGCCGCCGACGAGGATGTTCCCGGGCTTGATGTCCCTGTGGACGATGCCGCGCTCGTACATTCTCCCGGCGCCACCCAGTATCTGCCGCAGCGATCACGCAGAACGCGGCTGAGGCTCGGGCCGACGTGCTCCAGGACGAGGCTGCACTGCCCGGTGCGGGGGGTCCCGTGCGATGGCGTGCAAGCCGACGACGGAGGGGTGGCCGCGGCACGCCGCGAGGTAGCACGCCTCACGCAGCAGGTCGCGGTGGAGCGCGTGGGCACGGCGCCTCCTCTTGCTGCTGCCGTCGTCCGGCGAGCGGATAAGGCACTTGAGGGCGACGTACACGCCGGTGGCGCGGTGGCGCGCCTTGACGACAACGCTCGTAGTGGATAGAAACGTGGCGCGCGGGCAACGCGTGGTGCGTGTTTGCCGCTGCTCAATCGGATTCCACTGGAGCGAAACGCGCTTCCGAATTCGACCGGGAGTGTAGTATGGCACCGCCTCGCCGGGAGATATAAGCTGCATTGGGGGCCTCGTGGTAGGCGATCGCCTTCTTCCTTCCCAATTTCCCCATCCAATCCTCCCCACTCCCCAATCCACCCCAAAATCGATCGCAGGAGCTCGAGGGAAAGCCGCCGCTGCCATGGCCGGGCAGATGCTCCGCCGGTGGAATAGCTTCTACGGCGCCTTCGACCCCGTGGACGCCGCCATCGAGGCCGCCGACCCAGACCAATTTTCCCGCCACGTGTTCCAGCGCGCGAGGGGGGACCTGTTGGTATGGCTCTGCAACGCCGCCGACGACGACCAGGCGGAGCGTATCTGCGGGATTCTCGACGACCTCATGGCAGAGTCTCTCGAGACGCTCAGGGTGGTTCCATCAACGCCGGAGGTGCCCATCCCCACGGAACTCGCCGAGTCTGTGCGCGCGCTGCGGGAGCACGACTCGGAGCGCGTCCGCCTCCTCGCGCGCGGCATCGTGAGCGGGTGGGAGGCCTCCGTCGAGGACGATGTCGCCAAGGTCACACTCACACCAGCCAAGAAGAAGCTGCCGCAGCCCAAGGCGACCGGCGGCAAGCAGCAGGATGTCTCCGACGCGAAGACGAAGCGGCCTCACAAGATCTTCGGCGAGCCTTTGGCCAAGAAGACGGCGGAAATCATCAAAAAGGCGTCCGATCCTGCCGCCAGCATCGTCAACGGTGACCGTGCCGGGTTCTGCTCGGAGGAGAAGATGGAAGCCGCGAAGCGCAAGCTCCGCCAGGGTTACCAGGAAGCAGAGGACGCCAAACGGCGGCGCAGGACGCAGTTGGTGCAGGCGCCCAAGATGATGCAGCCGGCGTCTCAGATGCAGCCAATCAGGAGGTGCACCAGCTCCATGGTGAAGAAGACCTTCGCGGTCAGGACGCAGCTTCACGTGTAGCTCTAGTCAAGAACACAGTTGATCCAGAACTAGTCCTGCTCACTTTTTAGCTCACTTTTATGTACTTATATCCTTCTTCTCGAAGACTCGAACATGACATACTGTAGTTGTAAGTAGCACTACTGCAATGCAGTTGCTCGTAGCTCGTATGCTCTGTGATCGAAAGAAGTTGATGAATTGAAAGAGAGATTTAGTGTTAAAAATCTCCTGAAATCTGCAAAGAAGTTGATGAATTATATAATTCTGCGCTTTTGCAATTTTGAGTTCTCATGTCCATGTTCAGACTTGCAGAGGCCGGGGTCTTCCCCCTTTTCAAACAAGAATGTTCAGACTTGCAGTCCAAGTTGCAATTGGAATTCAACCAAAATTGACAAAATTCTCCCCTTGCTGTTCTTGATATAAAACTACATTTGTACGACATAACCGTGATATACATACATTCAGAATTTCTCTGAGGTTTGCAAGTTGGATTGTACTCAACACAGATTGCATATAAAGCAGCAGCAAAATATGGACCAGCATATATCAGCTTTTGCCGTCTTCTGTTTATAGCGAGGTATTTTAATTTTAATGTAGAAAAGGCTATGTTACAAAGAACAAAATGCAAGCTCGTGCTATCTTTCATGTAGAAGTAACATTTACAGTCCTCGCAAAAAAAAGAAAATATTTACAGGTGCACATGATTCCCCTTTTATACATGGCGTAGCGAGAATGTTCGCATTCCAACCCAAGAGAGCCAGTCATCACACCAAGGTATTTCAAAGAAAAGGCTATGTTACAAAGACCGAAATGTAAGCTCATGGTGCCTTTCATTTAGAAGTGCAGTACTATTTACAGGTGTACATGATTTCCACTTCATTCAGAACCCTGATTCGGTTCATATGCTCGGACCAGGAGAGCCAGCCATCACACTCCATGGTCACCACTGATAAACAAGAGCAGAGACCCCCAAGCACCTCTATATCCTTTCTATTGCCAAATGGTACGCAATAACTGAACTTCAAACTAGAGACGCAGTGTCCCACCATAATGCTGAGTGATGGAATCCTACAAAAAGGACAAAACAGTTACTGGGATGGGCTTTCACTCGATCAGTTTGACAAGTTTGAGGACAAAAATGTCCAGAATCTGAATTGCTGAATTGATGCATCTACCTGCATCCAGCTTGCAAATTTGTGTAAATGCAGCACAAATTACTCACATTTCAAAATGTAGTGGACCTTTAAAGCTTGAATAGAAACAACTAAAAAACTTTATGATCAGAACCAAGATGAAGGTGAACAACTATCTGGTTCCATCTAAAAACTAAGGTAGTTTTTTTCCCTCATGTTTGTGAAAGCCATAAGTGATAAGGACTCGATGGCCAGCCATACTGCCACAACAAATACAGAGGTAAATCTCAACAATGTCGTCCACAGACAAAATGATAGTAATATTGAACAAGTAAATTTTACCTGTAGTAAAGGAAGAATGCTGTTGTGCAATTCCAGAAAAAGCTCAGATGCTGACGAGAACCTGCAATGTGAAAGTTCAGTGATTGATAATAAGAACCTGGTTTCATGAATAACCTTCGTCATCGTGAGAGAGACTAACTACAACACCTATACCAATTCATGTTCACTAAGTATGCACATCTTGGTTTGCAACTAGTTCGCAACAAATTCATATCTAATAATGGTTAAATGACTATGATTTACCCTTTTTTTTCTCTCAAACAGTACGCTTTATTACCTTTTCAAAAGAAGGAAACATTTGTACAGCTCTTCAATATCAGAATCAACTTTCAGGTGTATATACTCCGTAAGAAGAACAGAGAGTCGGGAGAGTGTGTCGCTCCATTCTTCGCTACCTGGGGTAGGACACAGAGGGAGGAGGGAAGCAACATGCTCTAAAATTGAAGATAAAGGTTGACTTGAGATAGAATTTGCGTGTTGCTCTGCAATGGCATTCAATAGTAGGGAACTGCTAACTCTTAACTGTTCCGCCCATTTCTGAGAACTTCCTGGCAGAACACAAATCACTGGATTTTTTGGATCATCAGTTCCTCCATTCTTCAGAGATTTATTTTCAGTAACATTTGAAGTGCGGCATGTAGGATCTATTGGCCTATGTAATGGAAGCACATTGAACAAATCAGCCTTGACATCCTCGGGTAATTCCTGCAAAACTGTGAAGTCTGCCTGGCTTAGAGAATTAGGCATGAAATCAAGCCGCGTGACACTCTCTGTATCAATCAATTCATTGGCTCTTGAGCACGAAGCATGGGCAGTTTGAACTTCCTGGTCTGATGCCCCCTATGGGAGTAATGGCAACAATTAGGATACTTGAGGAATGGTTCAAAATAAGAATGATAAAGTAGAAGATTTGACTAGTGCTTCCACTCTGTTTCTAATTTTAAGTTTACTGATCGTCTCACCTTAATATTATTCCGTTTTTCCAAATGAATGGAGTCAGTGCGCTCTCCATACTGGTGCAACCTTGCATTACAAACAGGTACAGAGTTCTGGTTAACGGCGGGTAAAACACGAGATTTTGAATTGCTTTCCTTGCCTTCATCGCCCTTTATCGTGCACAGAAAACCATGCAATTCTCCCTTATACATGTCATTCATTTCAGATATTATCTCTGGAGGAAGGTTCTTGAGGACCTCCAAATCAAGTTCAGATAATGGTGGCAACTCAGCGGCATGAACTCTGGTAGACCTACCACTTGTAAGCTTCACCTTTGACAAGTCGGATGCAACACCTGTAAGTGATGATCTGGAGCTTCCCAAATTTCGCACCTCACTGGTAGTGGCTCCTACAAGATCTCTGACAAGTCAAAATCTTTTAAACAAATCCATGGGACCGAAAATTTGCAAATTCAACACTAAGCATGTAAAGCATCATCAAAATAATGCATTTGCTACACGATGGAAAATGACACCTTGATATGATAAAAAAGTCAAAGGAAAAAAAGGCCAATACCTGCACCATCACTGTTCCCAAGAAAGCAGGTTCTCTCACTGCATTGTTTCTTGAGCTTCTCAGATGATGAACCAAGCCATGATTTAAGCATATTCCCTTGTTGTGCTTCATTAAAAAATAAAAACCATAAGGACATGAGCATTCATAAAATCAGGTAAGCAACAGGGAAAGAAGAACATGAAGTGCAATTATCATTTTAGCAGAAAATTTATGAGCATTGCAACCTGGAGATAGTATTTGAACAGAGACGTACTCAGACAAGCTACCATAAGGGTGGTGGAAGAAGCAAATGTTATTGACTTACTGTATCAATGTGCTGGAAAGAAACCATTTAATATTACTTGTCTTAAAACCAATACTATATGAGAGTACCTTTGAAAACCAATGTGACATAAACACTGCACCTTTTTGGTGTTCTTCTAATGCACAACAACACGCATTTAGAAGCGTGTTAGAGAAAAAGGTTGTTACATAAACAGTGCAGCAATATGTATGTATAACATGCCCAAAAGGGTGTTAAGAAATTGAATAGTTAGAAGATACCTCCGCGACCTAAATCTGCATGCTCAAGCTTTGACATTTTTAGTCCAACTCCCCGCACTTCCTTCACATCTAGAATATGGCATTATTAGAACTTAGTATTCAACAAAGAAACTGCAGAAAAAAAGCTACTTGAAACAGACTTATATGGCAGTCTGCAGCAGTGTATATAAGATATGAGAAGAATATATCAAACTTACCAACATGCAAAGCTGCAAACAATTGTCTTGCAATTCTCTGAAGCGTGACTAAATTGTCAGTTGCACCTGTCATCTTTGAAACAACAAAGGAGAAGAAAGAAAGGTCAAATAGCAGTGATAAAAAAATCACATGATGCATTAAAAATACAAAATAAAATAACAGGCGCATATGCACTAAGAACTGAAACTCATTTTACAGGATAAATAATTGCCAAACCATTGCCGAAAATGGTCAACATTGCAAAACAATGAGACAGAATAGCCAAGTTCATACAGAAAAGCCGAAGAAACTAAGATTACAACACAATGACACAACTCTATATTCAAATGCCATTATTTAACCCTTACCGTGGTAGAGCGACTCATGGTTTCGCAGTCACCACACCCCATAAATTTTAGTGGCTCTCCAGCACCTTTCCTTCTTGTTTTCACCTTCAAGGCAGAACATATAGCTATGAACCTTTAACCAACTGGCAAGAAATGGAGAGAAAAAGTGTGTTCAGTCAGCCCAAAAAACCTTAAGGGTAATAGTACGGCCCTGTAGTCCACATCCTTGTAAGCGTAAAGAAACCTCCTTGCTGAGGTTGACTAGAAAATTATCAGCCTGCAAATAAACAAAAAAAATATCAAACACGAAAAGGGGCAGCACTAAAATAATAAACAGGAAAGATAAATAAAGAAGAGCATACATCTTTGTTCTCATTAAATCTGACTCCCCAATTGACTTCAGCACCCACAGATTTTGTTTCCTGTATTATTTGGGTCCCAAAAAATGTTTAAATATATCAGATTATTCGGTTCCAGAAGAAAAGGATTACCAAAATCAACAGTGCCTGCTAGGTATCAGTGATAAGTAAAATTAAACCTTTGATCCCTACGAGAAAAAAAAATGTGCCCATGTCAACAGCTAAAGCAATTAAAAAGAAGACAACTATTATTCTTGGAGACCAAGTTAGTCCAATCGTGTATGATGTGTCCGCTATGAGCTACTCTATTACTGAAGCAATGCATATGACACAGTTGTATTTCAGCAAATTACCATGCTACGCAGAAGCTAGGGGGGGAACCATCATAAACCAAAATAAAGCAAAAATAGTGCAACCCATACATGCAGGAGGCACACAATACTTTAAAATAAAATAATTATATTTCATTTTCCCTATGACTTTTGTATCCAATAGCGACAATCCATAAGAATTATACCAAAGGAACATTAGGACATTTTGTACATCTGTAAGAATAAACTTATCTTCAGCATTTTAGTAAAATGTGCACGAAATAAGCAATATTAATCTGAACTCATATTGAAGGCATGCGCCCTTCACATAATTAATTCCTTCCAAAAGACAGGACATCTTTACGAAACAAAAACAGTTCTTCGAATTTCAGGGAGGCTGTTGTTCCTTGTATTCACAAGGCATACTTCCTGTCTATGAAATTGGCTACGAGATCAATTCAGGAGAAAACAATTACATAAATGTAATTACTTCGAGGCATTTGCAACAATGAGTCAACCGTGTGCAGTCTCAAGGTACCATTCTTAGCTATGCAACCTTAACACAAAACTGGCATCAAATTTGCATGTTTCCCTGCAAGAAAATTATGGCCTTGACAATACAGGTGCAGGTTCTCACAACAGAAAAAAAAAACTAGGGTGCTTCTACCTGAACAGCTTCAACAACTGAATGATCAATTCCTCTGCAATAGTTCCATAGCATATTACTGATCTTTTTTCCGAAGTCCTTATGGAGAGCATCCTATATAAGAATTGTTTGCACGGTAGTAAGTTAACTGAATGAAATCAGTAAAGAAACCATATGTACAGACCTCCAAATCACAGATATGGCAATGCGTGATATAATCTTTAGGTAGCAGATACCCCAGATAAACTGACAAACAGTTTCTCGTTGAAAAAGATGGAACAAGCATGGTATCAAACTTGTAAAAATAAAGGATCACTTGACTGTGCCCTTGTCAATTTCCTTGAAGAGAAGGGACAACTGTATATTAAATTATAAACATACGATGTTGACAAACCTTCGAAATGTTGCGAAGCTGACCACAGTGTTCAACTTCATTGCTTTTCAGTTTATCGGAAACAGTATAACCAATGCCTGGAAGTGCTTTGATAGGGAGGGTACTCAAATAATCATCAACCTGTAACAGCATTGCTCTTAGACAAAACAGAAGTTGATTAAGCAAGTCAAAAGAAACTGTGCCATGATGAATAAAGCAAATACTTGCACTAGTTAACTGTCTTGAATTATATTCAACTGTATGCAAAGACTAAAGTAAAGTCAGTAAGCAGATCGAAAATATTTTCCACAAAAGATTTACATGACACAGTCACAGACTCTCAAGGTTATTTTTCATTTACCTCATACTCTGCAGGTGAATAGCCATTAGCACCTTATGGTGTAGTTAGATCTAATATACCCAGAAACAAATTACAGTTTTCTAAACAACAGAATGTGCACTTTATTAGTCAATAAGCTTGTGTAGTTGACTCAACCTCGCAGTTGTAATCAACTTAGATGGCTTGTTTTTTAAGTGATGGAAATATGCAAGGAACAGGGCAATTCCTTCATATTTATTCCTACAAAATTGTTGTTCCAAACAGGAACTGATTTAAACTAACCTGGTACATGGAATGGAACGGTTTTACAAATCTAAGGATGGACGTGATTAACATCGACGCATACCTTCTCAGATGAAATAAATAACTGTCCGTTCGGCTTTGCAGATCTGGTGGCTAATCGGGCTAGGAGCCTGTTTTCAGCAATACCTGCACTGGCAGTGCACTTCGTTGTACCAAAAATTTCATTTCTCATTCTTTCTGTAACTTCCTCTGGATTATCGTGTAAGCATTCCGTCATGTCCAAAAAAGCTTCATCACAGCTCAAAGCCTAAATAACTATGTTAGACTTCTGGATGCAAGTGTGGCAATCACAGTGCCAGGATTGTATTGACATGAATACATGCTGAGTAATCATGGAATAATACAGTACAAACCTGAACCTTAGTGCAATATTTATGCAAAATACCATAGAACTGATCCGCAACCTACAATAGTTCCATACCAACGTCTCAATTATAACAACGGGAGTGTCCAGACAAAATTTGAAGGTGAACTGGCCATCTTAGTAAACTATATACCTCCCCGTATGCATCGAAGTTATAAGGAACAACCGTTAGGTGAGGGCACCGAGCTTTGGCATCTCTAACGAACATGCCAGCCTTTATCCCTGGAACCCACGAAAGACGACACATAAATAGTCAGATGTGTCCATAGTAACAAGATTTTAAGCTCCAATTGTGATATCCAATAAAAATAAAAGCACCATAGTTTCGTGCAGGGTAGTTTGCAGATGATATTTCTGCAGTTCCTTTAGGATTGTCGGAATGACAAACTGCTACCGGCTTATCGTGCAGCTCTGGCCTATTTCTGATGACGACAGATACAAAAAAGCAGTCCTGGAATTGCAGAGAAAATGTGTAAAAGTCAAGATAACAACTACTCCCTCCGTCCCAAAATAAGTGTCTCAACTTTGTACTAGCTCTAGTATAAATTTGTACTAAGCTCAAGACACTTATTTTGGGACGGAGGGAGTATGATGCAAATAGCTCTGGCATACGCAGCATATACCAAAATACAGTAATGAATCTGCAGAAAGGTTATGCCCAGGATCAAGATAAGCAACTGAGAAAATATTGATCTTCAGTCTTCTGTGAGTATTTAATTCAACTACTGACTGAAATCTGTAGCTTGGACTTAATTTTAAAGATCTGATTTGCTGATTACCTGCTAGTCTCTGGATGATTTTTTTTCACAGAATCCAATGGCATGGAGAACTAAGTCATGGTTAGCGGTATTTAGCTCTTTTTCAGCACATTTCTCTAAAAAGATGGTGTGTCCTTTACAAGTAGAATTTCAATTTACCACGCTTGTTAGGTTCATTATTATATTTAAAACCAAGTTACAAAACTGTGACTGATCACTGATCAGGGATTCCTAACTCATAAGCATGGCATAACTAAACCTGGATCCTAAAGGTCACAGAGTGATATGCCTAATTATACAGCTATATATAGTGCAAAGCAAAGAAAGGAAAAAAAGAAGAAGAAGAACTTCACGGCCAAATTTACGAGTATAGAAGTACAATTTGTTTGTGGTTTTACAGCTAGCAAATAGGATGACATGTTAACAAGATTACCATATCAATATGAATGATTGTTTTCTTCTTCCCTGAATGATCATTGTTGCCCTTACTGCTTTTAGCTCCAGGTAAATTTGAGAAGCGCTTGCGGTAGCGATTTCGCCAAGTCCCAATGAAATGCAGTCGAGAATGCTACAGTACCAAATAAGGTTATTGTAAAAATAATCAGTGTGACAAAAAAATGCAACATCACAGTTATGAAAAGATATCTGATATTATAATGAAATAGAAGCAGCAAAGCATTTCAGTAATTATGAGCTTCAAAAATTATTAATAAAACCTCAAACCACCCCTCCATATACACTTACTGCACACAAGATTGCATTCTGTCCAATCCTTACCAACACAAGAACAGGACTTGGATATAAATGTGATTACTTTAAGAATATTTTCGAGACTTCGGTGGCAATGTTACAATTTTAAACCACATCATGCCAAGAATAGTGTAACAATTATGATAACGGAACATCAATGACGCTAAATTGTTTGAGTAACATGCCTTGAAATAATTCTCTACAAAATTAGGATCTGTCAGGGTTGAATGTGACCGGCTAGAAGATTTAGCTGTATCTTTCTCCAATGAACCAATTGACAAATGGCTGCCCACAGAGCCTGTACCGCATACATCTGAAAACCTTGAAGTAGCATCAGGAGACTGAGCCACATGAAGTTCAGGATCCATGTCATTATCCATACTTTCTGAAAATGCTATTTTACAGGCATTATCATCCTCATCCACTGCAAAATCTTCACCATCTCGTTCTTCAAATGTTGAAACTCCATGTTCATCTGAGGATAGTGAGTCCTCTGCTACCTCCACATTCATCAATGGAACTCCATGTTCATCTGAGGATAGTGAGTCCTCTGCTACTTCCACATTCATTAATGGAACTCTATGTTCATCTGAGGATAGTGAGTCTTCTGATACCTCCACATTCAGTAATGGCCCTTGCTGTTCACAAGACTCGGTTTGGTCACGTGATCCCTCCTGAGCAGAAGAAGTTTGGAACTCAAGGTCTTTGTTATCATCATTTTGATTGCTCTGGTACTGTATTCCATTTTGTTTCCCAGAAAAGAAAGCAGAAAGCTTCATCTGCTTTCGGCTTGAAGAATTATGCTGACTTATTTGGTATGGAACCCCTAAGATAAAATAAGAAAACTGAATCATAATTACGTACAAGAACAAATGAAGTAATATAAGTGCATACAAACTTTGGTGTCATAAAAAAACTTCACAGGCTATAAATGTGCTCTACTGAATTAAATATAAGCACCTTCAGAGAGAATAAATAAAATTATCGTAGGTGGAGATAAGCAAAGAATTGAATCTTTCCATAATAATTAACATTGTGTTCAATTAAAAAAGTTTGCTCATTCTGCTAGCACCTGCTATTTATTGATACATATGGCTACATTTCATGGATTGAAAATTTGAAGAAAATGATCTTGCTAATTGCATTGCAACTCAAAACTCAACCAAACCTATTATTATACAAAAAAAGCTAGCAACATGGTTTAACTAAACATTCAAGGAAAAGCAGCAACAATGAAGCAGATCATTCAGCATTAACAGGCTTAAATGCAAGGGGGAAAGAAAGTACAGCTGAGGAGCCGGTTCTCTGCAAGGGAATCCACCACCCACCCCGGCTTGACAACAGGAAGACCCTTGCTGAATGCTCTGGATTAAGCAGCAACAATATCAGGGACAAGACACACATAAGAACATAACTATTACACCCGTAGGTAGACTGGCACAGAACGTTAGCCCCCCTTCTGTGTTTAATTTTTCACTCGCCTCCATTTGTATTACCTCATATTCCGCATTTTGCTCTCCGAGAGGTGTGTGCAGACGATGTGCGTCACCGTGTGCCTGGAGAAGTAGTTGACGAACCGGCCACCGTTGTTCAGCATAATCTCCTTCAGCTCCTGCCAATCCCCAAACAATAATAAGATGGGGACAAATTGGCATAACAACAAAATCCGGCGAAATCACAGGGTGCAGTGTGATGAGCAGGCGGCGAGCGGTGGGGCACCTGGCTAGAGGGGACGGTGAATCCGTCGACGAAGATGGAGACGCCCGCGAACAGGGCCCCGGGCGCCGCGGCGGCGGAGGTGGAGGCGTCGGCGTCGAACTGCGCGGAGAGCTTGCTGTTCTTCGCGGACATGTAGCTCCCGAAGTCGGCGAACGGGGAGGAGGCGAAGGCGCGGCGAGGGTTCTGGGCGGGGGCTGGGACGGAGGCGGGGTCGGCGTTGGAAACGAGCGACGTGCCGGGATCATCGTCGCCCCTCGCACGCTTCTGGCCGGACGAGGAAGCCGCCGGCCTCGCCGGCGGCGAGGAGCGGCGGGCGGAGGAGGTGCTCATGGCGGGAGGAAGGGGGCGAGTGGGGCGGGGAATTTTCGGGAGCGCGCGAGACGAATAGCGGCGCTAGTCCATTCTGCCCCGCCGATAGGGGGCGAGACGGGCACTTGAACATTATTTGTGAAATGGTCACAAAAAAATATTTTTGAATTTCGAGTGATCGTTTGACCTTTTTTTTGCAGGGAGTTGTTTGACTTAGGGCATGAAGGCCATCTCTGCCCCAATATGTGGGATTTCACGTGAATCCATGACGACGGCTGCACGACGGCTTGGCCTTGGCAATGTTGGTCGTGTCAGCTAGGAGTGGGGAGTTGAAGTCGGGATGGATGGCAGCCCCAGGTCGACTTTGCGACTGTCTGTGTCAAAACCGGCGGATCTCAGGTAGGGGGTACTGAACTGTGCGTCTAAGGCTAATGGTAACAGGAGGCAGGGGACACAATGTTTACTCAGGTTCGGACTCTTTCTATGTAGATAATACCCTACTTACTGCGTGATTGATCTTGATGAATATGAGTATTACAGAGTTGATCTACCACGAGATCGTAATGGCTAAACTCTAGAAGTCTAGCCTATTAGATTATGATTGTTGTCATACGGACTAAACCTTCCGGTTTATATAGACACCGGAAGAGACTAGGGTTACACAAAGTCGGTTACAGAGAAAGGAATCTACATATCCGAATCGCCAAACTTGCCTCCTACGCAAAGGAGAGTCCCACCCGAACACGAAAAGAAGTCTTCTATCTTGTATCTTTATAGCATAATAGTCCGGCCCAAGTATATAGTCCAGTTGTCTGAGGACCCCTTAGTCCAGGACTCCCTTAGTAGCCCCTGAACCAGGCTTCAATGACGATGCGTCTGGCGCGCAGATTGTCTTCAGCATTGCAAGGCGGGTTCCTTCTCCGAATACTTCAAAGTAAATTTGGAACATAAGAATCGTGTCCGGCTCTGCAAAACAAGTTCAACACACAATCGTAGAGAGTATAATATTTTCACGAGTCCAATCCGCTGACAACTTTTCGTAGCGTGACATCACGCCACTGCCCGGTCATTATTCGAACCGTTCTTTAGCATGTCGTTCCGTATTTTGAGGTGCGGTTTTATTGGCACGTCTTGTCAAAGCAGAGATCGTGTCCCCTTATCATGGGATTCTCATCAATACGGGCATGGGTAACCCAACCGTGTCATCTGCATGGCCCTTGGGGAATAAGCGAGTTTTAAGGCGAGTGGGGAGGCGCATGACTTTTACTGCCTTTATAAAGAGATAAGGATTCATCCTTGTTCACCCACGCCTTCTACTTCCTCTGCCCATCCATTCTCGAGCTCCAGCGTCCAAGCTCTTGTCTTCTCCATCCAAAAAAGCACTCCAATCATGTCCGGATCCGGAGCAGGAGGCAAGTGGATGGCCTCCTCAGTCAAGGAGAAGGGCATCAAGAAGCTCCGGGAGGCCAGGTACCTAGCCAAGGAAATCGCCCATCGACTTCAGGCCAAGGGACTGATCGTCCCCACCCCGGAGCCCTAAGAGAGGGTGGTGTTCCTTACACACTTTGTCCGCAGGCTGGGATTCCCCCTCCACACATTTGTCCGCGGACTGATGTACTACTACGGGCTGGACTTCCATGATCTGGCCCCCAATTCCATCCTCAACATCCCGGCATTTATTGTCATGTGTGAGGCCTTCCTCTGCATCCCACCTCACTTCAGTCTATGGCTGAAAACCTTCAATGTGAAGCCGAAGGTGGTGAGCGGCCAGCAAGTAGAGTGCGGAGGCGCCATGGTGGGCAAGATGTCCAATGTCACCTGGCCCGAAGGCTCCTTCGTGGAGACCGTCAAAGGATGGCAATCGGGGTGGTTCTACATCACTGAGCCGTGCGGCACCAGCTGGGTGGCGGCTCCCGCATTCCGATCCGGAGTCCCGATGCGACTCACCTCCTGGCAAGAGAATGGCCTATCCTGGGGCTCTTCGGACGAGCTGACAACGCTCCAGACGCGCGCCCAGAGCATGATAAACAAGAAAGTCAAGCTCGTCAACGTGATCCAGATTATGCTCGTTCGCCGGATTCTTCCGTGCCAACGCCGGACTTGCTATTTGTGGGAGTTCGATCCGGCCAAGCACCAGATGCTATTAGAGCTCTTCGGCACGATGCATGAAGATATCTAGAAGGTGCTATTTAAGGCCAGCGAGACGCCACCGCCCACGACCGAGGACCGTGGGCATAGCTTAACTCGCCTTGCTAATCCGGTAAGTTCTTTCATGTTTTCAAGGTGTACCTTTTACTTGCATATTCGAGGAAGGCATCTAAGCCTCCTTATCATTTTTTCCAGGACTAGACAGAGATAGCGGAGCGGATTAACTGTCCGGCTCCGCTGCCCGAAGGCACAGAAACCCCGCTTCTGACGAAGATGATGTTTTCGGCGCCTTATGAGGTGCCGGAGAAGAAGGCCAAGGGGATCATAGGTGGTCTCCGCCGCAAGGGCACTTCGGACGCGACGTCCGAAGACGTCGAGGCTCACTCCTCCGCCGAAGACGACGAGGAAGACGAGGAAGAAGAAGAAATCCATTCCCCCCTGCAGGTGGGAGAAAGAAGAGGATGGCCTCCACGCAGCTGGAGGCCGAGGCGTCCAAGAAGGGGAAAGCTTCCCTTCCGGACAGCTCTGCAGCGGCCACCGACAGCAACTGGGAGTGGGAACCCAGGGAGAAGCCCCTGGCCAAGTCGTAAGTGTCCGGACATGTTCATGTATCCGACCTCTTTGCTTCATTGTTTTAATGTGCTGAAATATGTATTTGCAGTCCGGCTCGGTCCAACCTCGAGCGGTCCTAATCTTCAGAGGATTCGATGCACCCAGCGGCAATGGACAGCGGGACCCTTCCATCGGCCACCTCTCCCCGGGACCTCGATGGCGCCGAGGCGTCGTCCCGAAGGATCCCCGGCCCAGGAGAGAATCCGGAGGTCGTCAGGGAGGCGCCGGAGGGTGAAGTCTCGGTTGCCGGACACATGGGGGAGCAGACCCCCATGGATACTGACAATGGGGGTCGTATTTAATTCGGCCCTCATCCGAATATAATTCTGGAGACCCATACGGCTCCGGAGTCAGGCGAGCAGCCCTCTTCGAAGTAAGGGGGCGTGTCTATCCTATCGGTGACCTCTGTCCAACCAGAGGAGCCTGATGTCTACTACGCAACCTTCTCCTTTAGACGTTGTTGGGCCTCCAAGTGCAGAGGTTTGTAGGACAATAGCAATTTTTCCTCAAGTGGATGACTTAAGGTTTATCATTCCGTGGAAGGCATAGGATGAAGGGGGTCTCTCTCAAACAACCCTACAACCAAATAACAAAGAGTCTCTTGTGTCCCCAACACACCCAATACAATAGTAAATTGTATAGGTGCACTAGTTCGGCGAAGAGATGGTGATACAAGTGCAATATGGATGGTAGATATAAGTATTTGTAATCTGAAAATATAAAAACAGCAAGGTAACAAGTGGTAAAAGTGAGCGTAAACAGTATTGCAATGCTAGGAAACAAGGCCTAGGGTTCATACTTTCACTAGTGCAAGTTCTCCCAACAATAATAACACAATTGGATCATATAACTATCCCTCAACATGCAACAAAGAGTCACTCCAAAGTCACTAATAGCGGAGAACAAACGAAGAGATTATTATAGGGTACGAAACCACCTCAAAGTTATCATTTCTGATCGATCTATTCAAGAGTCCGTAGTAAAATAACATGAAGCTATTCTTTCCGTTCGATCTATCATAGAGTTTGTACTAGAATAACACCTTAAGACACAAATCGACCAAAACCCTAATGTCACCTAGATACTCCAATGTCACCTCAAGTATCCATGGGCATGATTATACGATATGCATCACACAATCTCAGATTCATCTATTCAACCAACACAAAGTACTTCAAAGAGTGCCCCAAAGTTTCTATCGGAGAGTCAAGACGAAAACGTGTGCCGACCTCTATGCATAAGTTCATTGAACCCGCAAGATGATCACCAAAACATACATCAAGTAGATCACGTGAATATTCCATCGTCACCACAGATAAGCACGACAAGACATACATCAAGTGTTCTCAAATCCTTAAAGACTTAATCCGACAAGACAACTTCAAGGGGAAAACACAATTCATCACAAGAGAGTAGAGGGGGAGAAACATCATAAGATCTAACTATAATAGCAAAGCTCACGATACATCAAGATCATATCACCTCAAGAACACGAGAGAGAGAGAGAGAGAGAGAGAGAGAGATCAAACACATAGCTACTGGTACATACCCTCGGCCCCGAGGGTGAAATACTCCCTCCTCGTCATGGAGAGCGCCGGGATGATGAAGATGGCCACCGGTAAGGGATCCCCCCTCTGGCAGGGTGCCGGAACAGGGTCCCGATTGGTTTTTGGTGGCTACAGAGGCTTGCGGCGGCGGAACTCCCGATCTATTATGCTCGCGGATGTTTTCGGGGTATATGGATATATATATATATAGGCGAAAGAAGTCGGCCAAGGGAGCCACGAGGGGCCCACGAGGGTGGGGGGCACGCCCAGGGGGGTAGGGCGCACCTCCCTGCCTCGTGGCTTCCTCGTTAATTTATTGGGTGCAAAAGTTTCTAATTTTCAGCAGGATCAACACAACTATCACCGTAAGCTATCCTAAAGGTCTTACTTGGCACTTTATTGAAACAAAAGCTATAAAACATGATTACTACAGTAGCGTAATCATGTGAACACACAAAAACAGTAAAGGTAAATATTGGGTTGTCTCCCAACAAGTGCTTTTCTTTAATGCCTTTCTAGTTAGGCATGATGATGACAATGATGCTCACATAAAAGATAAGAATTGAAACATAACGGGAGCATCATGAAGCATATGACTAGCACATTTAAGCCTAACCCACTTCCTATGCATAGGGATTTTGTGAGCAAACAACTTATGGAAACAATAATCAACTAGCATAGGAAGGCAAAAATAAGCATAACTTCAAAAATTTC